AACTCTAACTGCAGAGGTAATGAATCCCATAGGTTAAACAATTTCACATACAATGTAAAACTGAAGGGATATATAGTTCAAGGAATATAATTTCATCAAAAAATTTTTAAGTTACACAAAAGCTGTACTAGTTATTGCGATTTGGATGTTACCTAAGTTTAGTTATATACTCAGTTCCCACAGAGAGTGGAAACCTTAAATATGCAGAGCTTATAAAGGATCAGCAGTGTTATCTCAAACGAAATAAGTAAGAAAAATCGTCATAAGAAAAGGTTTCATAAAGCTTCAAATTAGTCCCGTAAGAAATCAAATATTTCATCATGTCAACAGAAAACACTTATGACGCCTGATAAATAAGTAAATACCTGTCTTTTTGGTCATTATAGCAACCAATAATTACCATTAGATGAAATTGATTAAAGCTTCAGTATCACACCTTTAAAACTGATGAGTCATTACCTTTTATTAGCAACTGTAGTGGTATTGGCATAAAATGAAGATCCTCAGGAATAGTAGGTTTATCCAGTCTTCTAGGAATTATTAGGAAAGCGGCAGAATTTATGGTGCAACAGAGTTTCAAAATCAGGGAATTCGTAAAATCTACAGTCTGGCCAAATCAATGATTTACTTTTCTGCGCATTCAGTAATATGATAATATTAGTGAATCAAATGAATTAATATACACATAAGATTTAGAATGCAAACGAACCACATGTAACAGTTAGGCCTAACATTTAAGTCAGTATTTGATCAGTAAATCTAAAATTTAGCTAGTCAATATGTTAGTTTCCAGGATGATATTTCGTTTGACCTTCTACGTAAGGAAGTTAAGACGTTCTGGTATCATTCCGTCTCTACTGCTACAGTTCGTTTTTGCATCTTGTATTCTGCCTATACTTCTTCATTGCTCCCCTTTAACCTTTCCAGGGCTACTTAAGAAAGGCTTTGTTATACTATGAAGGGCACTGAAAGACGTCAGTAAGGCGAGTGGAGTGTTATTAAACCAACTGGCTAATACTACTATAGATGGACATTTGGATTTATATCTAAGTTGCAATGAAAAATGAACTCCCTTAGTTTAAGTAGTTATCATTTATACTGTTTATTATAACACATAGCGCTATTGAGATTAGTGAGTTATATTTAAGGTGATATAATGTATTTTTGCAACGAATGAGGGTTCTGATTCCGGGTGGAAAGATTTTTGAAGCTTTTCTATTACGGCTTTGTTTCCACACAGTATTTTGGAGCTAGTATACAGTTTTCCGCATGTGATATCGGTAGCTCACACATAGCAGGTCGACCATTGATTTAAGGTGTGCTTCGGCAGTGGATCAAACCCTGGACCATGTTCATGGTCGGCGAGCGTTTTTACCGCTCTGCCACCGTAAGCGAGCACTAAATAGTTTAGAATTTCTGGTATTGGACTGCAGGGATTTGATTGATTTCAAGAGAGATCAGGAACTAGCTTCAGTTAGAGAACCACTGAAAACCAGGGAGTACTGGACAGCTGTTTCGTCCTCACGTATGTCCCCACAGTGATAAAATCTTTAACACACTTTTATCTATAAAGTGCTCTATATTTTTACATCTAAAACACATTTTATAAAAATATGATACTTTTACTAATGAAGCAATGTGGTATCAGTACAAATTAGTGAATTAGTATATTCGTTTTTTCTGGCTGTACACTACTGTACACTCAATCCTATTTTTAGCATTACTGATTAATGAGCTCTATTCAAGTGTTAAGAATAACTAGGGGCAATAAGCAAAATGTAATGACGAAGCTTTTACTGGTTTTAGTTAACTGTCAAATGAAAAAGGTATATGTGGTAGTTTGATGTCGGTTAAACGGTAGATTATTCTAGATGACACTTCCTGTTTAGTATGCACAAACAAATTGCAGACTTAAAAAGTAAAGCTACTATACAAGCCCACAGTAGTAAAACCAGGGAACTATTAGTGTAACGGAACAGGGCATAACAACGGAAACTATATAACTCAACTTGTACGCAATTCTTTTGAATTAGTAGTCTACACAAAAGAGATGTTCACAATGGACATAGACAGCTTTGGAGTGCTTCATGTGTCTTAATCATATGGATGTCCTTTGATTCATGTACACTCTTATTAGTCCCACAATGTTTTCTGGTGAGCTATTTTAAAATTTCTTTTTAAATATAATAATTTAGAATTCAACTTGTAGAAGGTAGATTTTACAAATTATTTGTACGCTAAGCTTAAAAAAGTAAGCACCACCATACTTTAGTGTCTTTTCATATTTGAAAAAAATACACAAGTTTGAAGCAATACATGCCTCTTTTCCTTAAATAGACGTTTTTTGTTGACTATGAAGAGAATCACACTTTTATTATGATTTGCTTGTGTGATGGGTGATGCTGAATCAAATTTGTGTTTCACTGACCAAAAAATATTTCCTTTTGTCATTTCGCGCCTAGAAGTAGACATGTGATATAACAGTAAAATGACACAATTTTATTCTGACCATCTTAAGTTGACGTCACTTTGGAATATTTTTTCATGGAATTCCTTTACAATGCTAGTAGTAATCTGTCGTCACCAATTCCACATTTGCCTACAATATATTTGAATGACTACTACCTAAGTGTATCTTTATTTATTTAATTATTTTCTTGTGAAAGAAATAGAAGTAAGATGAGGATTTCATAAAAAAGTAATATATATATATATGTTTTCCTTCACGTTTCCCAGTGGAACATAGGGCTTCAAGCTAGTGACTTGAAGTTTCTTTAGCAGTGTTTATCTTACAGGACGGGATTGATAGCCCCATGTCCAACCTTTCCTCTTTACCAGCATTATTTCTGGCTTAGCGAGGTAAAGGAGTGCGTCGGCCGGGAATCGAACCCCGGACCATGTGCATGGTCGGCAAGCGTCCTAACCGCTATGCCACCGACGTCATAAAAAAGTAAGGCAAACATTATTGTACTCATCTAAGTACGGTTTATTTCGATTGTCATAACTTATAAATATATATATAACTGAACACTTGCAATATATAGCAGAGCTATAAACCTGAACACAAATATTGTGACATACTTATTTCATTCCATCGCTGTATGAAACTATTTAGTTTTATCAATGGCTATTCCATGAAAACTTTTCTAGATTTTTATTCTTACTAGAAAAGCTGATACACCATCAAGTATTTATAATTGGATTACATGAACGATGGAATAGACTATGGGTCAAATATCACCACGTATTGCGCTGATTTTTAAGCTCACTCACAATGTTTACGTAGAGGCATTTGGCTATCAACTGACAATATTTCTCTGAGAACTTTTACCATGAACTCTAGAAGTATAGGGATAAAACTTAGGTACTGTGGCAGAGTATAATCTAATTATGGATAAAATTTTATTTTGATAAAATCACACAGTGTTGTACAGTAATATTTAGTGTTTAATAACTATCCTATAAAACTCATTAGGAATATCAAAAAAGGTCAAAACCAAAATAAAAATAATGGTGAAACTAATAATGATAACATAAATAAGAGAAAATATAAGGCGTCTATAGTTCTGAGGCCCTACGGAGGATTTTCAATGAAACAGGAATTAGGGTAGCATTCAAACCTACAAATTCACTCACAGACAAACTCTGTAGGCTGAAGGACCATGTAGGTTGATCCAATTAAACAAAATAATGTAATTTACAAAATACCTTGCAATGACTATGAGTTAATTCAACTACATAGGTCAAACTGGTAGATCAGGAGTAGTCAGATTATCAGGACATAAGAATTTAGCTAAGGTTAGAATGATTGATCCCACGAAGATAAGTAATTTAGAAAAGAACTCAGCAATCGCACTGCATGCATTAACACACAACCAAACAATAGGGTGGGACAGAGTCAAAATTCTAAAAAGTAAAATAGGTAGGTGAAGGGAGAGGTGGTTGATTACTGAATCCTGGTTCATTGAGTCTACACCCAAAACATGCAACGCAAATATCACAGATATGGGAGATATTATTACCAGCAAATCAGAGGAAATAAATAATTTTACAATGGATTTCAATTCACATTATAATATTCTAACAAGTTACTTGTTTATTTTACTATAAAAGCATCTTATTTCCCATCTTATTGTATTTGATTGATAACACTAATATTATTTCTGAATGTACTTTATCTTATTTTGATTTTGATTCAAATGTCTAATCAATTTTTACTCATGTGCATAAATGAAGCAAAAACATTGTGTGAGTGCCTTGGTATGATTATGAGTAGCAATAAATTGTGCTCGAAACGTGGTCATCAGTAATTTTATCGAAATAAAATTTTATCCATAATGGAGTTAAACTCTAGAGGTTGTTTTATTGACATAGAAAAAATGCAGTATTTCATTATTTTAGTATCTCCAGATGTAAAAATTCCTTTAGATTCTTCCTTACTTTTCTTTTAAGTCTTCATTATAGATGAGGGGTACTTTACATGTTATATAGTCAATAATTATCAAAGGTAGTACCTTAAATGAAAATTAAAATCATAATACTTAGAATATATATATATATAATTTTCAAAATAATTGAGTCCATTAACAATAACAGTAAGGATACGCAAATCCCAAAAATAAATTCAGAGTTCACATATTTACGTTCATTTTTTCTTTGAGAAATTATTTAAAGATTTACTCATTGCCATGTTAGACTTACTAGGATTCGATTTCAGCAAAAGTTATAAAGTATATTTTCCATGGAAACACACAAGTCAGCATATCCGAAATTATTTCCAAATCGCCTTAAACTTATCTGAAGTTGTGTTATTTTCCCTACATGATAACAATTTTTTATTACCAGTATTAGATAAATGTTTTCACTTAAGAAAGTTGCAAAATTTTTGACATGAACAAAGTAACAGGATAAATTTTTTTGAAAGCATGACTTCAATTTGATTGGTTGATTTTCATTTATAAGTGAACACGATTGGCTAATGTTTCAACGGTAAAAACTTATAAATAGGTGGAAATTCATGTTATCTTCGTTAGGTGAAATATTCATTAGAATGACAGGAACATATTTTTATATGTTATATTCAATCGTATACTGAATAATTGAATTAGAAGGTGACTATCTTCTAGTTTGATATACAATGTACATTCAAAGACTTTGAAAAACTTGAATCACGTTTTAGAAATTGAAGATTCATTTTAAAATAGCAGCTTTTTAGCTGTAATATATAATACAGTTAAGTTCACATCTTGGATATTTACAGAAACAGAGATAAAAGTTTGAGAAATGAATGCAGATTATGTTTGGAAGTTGTCCAAATTCGGTCGTCTTACATCTACTCGATTACGATATGATGACGACTTCTCAGATCGATTGAATTATCAATTCACTGGACTTTTATTGTTTGTATTCATTGGAATTATAGGCATTAGACAGTATGTTGGTAAGATACTATTTCTGTTTTCTTGAAGTATTTCTGCTATGTTTATTCATGCAATTTGTTTGTTTTCGCTGAAAGTATTTGTTATTTTCTCAAAACATTAGCATTTTATATTTAGTTGTAACTCACCACTCTATCTTTGGTTTACATTGTCCATTATAACATATTACAATATTACTATTATTCCATTGGGTTCACAGTAGAGCATTAAGCTTCAAAAGCATGTCTCCGCTTCATCCTGTAATTTGCAATTTTTTTTAGCTGGCCCAATGACTACTTTTACGCTTTCATCTTCATCACATTCTATCTTTTCCATGTTACCCTCGTTGGTTCCCATTCGGATTCAACCCAACGGCTTAGAGCTTGATGTTACTCAGCGGTCTCAGTTTTAGGCTATAGGTTCTATGATTGTGGAACAGATTTACTTGATGCTCAGAGGATCTTACATATTTTTTTAAATAATTAATTAACTCACTCCACTAAGTGTGCTTGTTATAATTTCTGCAGTTCATTTGTATTCATTTTTCGCGATGCAGAATGGTATTTTATAAACCTATAAAGAACTTTCACTAGTAGACGGCGTAAACACCGACACCTTTCAAAAGAATAAAGCGTCTATGAAAATACAAAGACTTGAGGATGTTGCTGCAACTATTAAGTTGGCTACCAGTAAGGCATTACAGTAAATAAGAAAGACTGAATGTCTGCTTTAGAGTCTTTAATATGGTAGTAATCCCTTCACTTCCGACAGTTAGACATGGTTTATGAGCCAAATAATTACAATTGTTGTGCAGTAGGTCACTGTTCGTGTAACAATATGTTCAGTATAAGAAATGTTCCCAATTAGCAATAAACACTTTCTCAAATTTGTAAAGTAAGTGCACTGATAAGGATTTCGGTGACTTTAATGACGTTCCAATATTTATCATATTTTTCTGTTAACTAGAAAATGATTTAAGTACGGTTCAGTGTATACCGACAGAAAAGAGGAGTAGAAAGCTTGTTTTCGGAAGACTGTCAACGTATTATTTCGTCTCCAGTTCTCTGCAAGTTTCAGAAACGGCCTAAAAGAAGTAGATAAATTTTCGCTTAACATGGGATTTTGATGACAAGATAATCATTATACTGTCAAAATATTTTTCCAGAAACGATGTCCCATTCAAAGCTTTTGTTTTTATTTATTTCAACTTTGTCCAAGGTACGTACTTCTGCCCTGTTTTCATTCTCCCCTATCTCTTTTGTGTCAACAGTTTCAGTAGGTCCCGCAATTTAGACAAACATTGTATTTGTTTATTACTGCGTCAAGAAACCATGTAAACGTTTGTCAAACCTTATACTTTTCAAATCTATTCGATCGAATTGTGTTACACAGTTTCCAAAACTGTGCAAAGATAGCTGCGTCTATATAGACACAATACCTCATTTTTTATTTACACAGTAATTTTCTTCAGAACAAAAATGATCACAGAAAAAAATGTTTTCAACAAGTTCTTCTTCAGTTTCTATAATGATAAATTCGTTAATTTTAGCGTGCAGCAGCCAGTGAAGGCAAGTTAGGATTATGTCAAAAAGTGTATTATGGAACAAGTACAAGATAGAATATTAGTCACTTAGTTTTGATCGTCATTTAAAATATATATGGTCATTACGAACATGAAATAAAATGAAATGAAATAATTCACTGTAGTTAGTGGTGTGTGAAACAGTATGAATAGTAAAAATAAAAAGTTTGAAAAGTATTACGCAAACCTACTGTAATAGACACGAGCAGTTGAATTCACAGATAAACATTGATGTGGTCATCATAGGTAATTTATCCTTGACTTGCTGTGTGATTAGTGGTTTATTTGAGGAAGTGAGTACTATTCTGGCTGGAAGAAATGTTCTCTGTTTATCTATTAATTCGATATTTCAGAATGTCTGCTGCAATTTCACCTTTGCAACTTGAGATACAATGGCTTTTCATCTACCGTATTCATCAATACCCTTTCTCTAGGCATCGACTTGCACTTTTTTATAAAGTTTTCTGTATATGCGTTTTCTGATGGTGTAAGTTTCAGTTTACACACTTCCTCCTTAATGCATTCGTCTGAACATAGACGTTTTATTCTATAAATAAGGCTCTTAACTAAGTTCCTTTTATACTGGAGCGGTGTGAATTTATGCAAATGGATGTACTGATCCATCCAAGACTTTTTTCTTAAAAAGTTTCTTTGCAGATATCCATTTGTTTTCTTGGTGAGGAGGATGTCTTCGAAGGAGGATACTGTTGTTTTCTTCTTCCTCACAGGTGAAATAAATAAGTGGTTGAACACTATTGACAAAACGTTTAAAACCTCTTGTTTCTTAAGGTGAAATTGTCATCTGAGTGCAGACAGTAACAGTATACCTCTTTAATCGCACCTTTTAGCAGACAAATTTGAAGTTTTACCAAGAAAATATCCATAAGCGTAGGTCCCAGAGGTGAGGCCATCGCAACTCCATCGATTTTACTATAGAAGTCATTGCTGAAAACAAACTGGACATTCGTCGTTCATTTCAAAAGTAATTCCTTGACCTTTCAAGTGAGATTCTTATATCTATCTTTCTCTGTGTCAGTTTTTCACATATTTAAATAACTGTTTCGAACAATAGAACACTGGTGAACAATGATGCTACATCTAGTTGTGGTGAGAGCTGTCTACTAGCCAAATTGGTAGACAGTAATTTACGTTCCCAAGATTTGTCGTGAGAAACAACCAATCGGAAGACTGTGTTTGTTTACTTAAATATCCATAGTAATATACATGAAAATATATAAATATGTGTTGATTTCCTTAATAAATGATCTGTTGCCTGACTCTTGCCTTCTGTCGTTACATAGTGACATCATTTTCTTTCCGTTTACTTCCGGACTTTTGGCAATTTCTACAAAGCTCAGTATGTTCTTTAGACTGAACTTCACTAGTTCGCCGTGAAGAGTATCCAATGCTTTTACTGACCACTGCTGTTGGATAATAGAGACTGAGGCTTTTCTAGAATAGGATGTAATGATACTCCATGCTCATGCACTTTCGATAAACCACCAAGTCTTAATGCGTGCGTGTCCGAGAGTTTTAATTCTTCAAGCGTAGACTCAGGAATCAGATTTCTGATTAATTCTTTTCTGAATAAAATTATTGTGTAAATAAAAAATGAGGTATTGTGTCTATATAGACGCAGCTATCTTTGCACAGTTTTGGAAACTGTGTAACACAATTCGATCGAATAGATTTGAAAAGTATAAGGTTTGACAAACGTTTACATGGTTTCTTGACGCAGTAATAAACAAATACAATGTTTGTCTAAATTGCGGGACCTACTGAAACTGTTGACACAAAAGAGATAGGGGAGAATGAAAACAGGGCAGAAGTACGAATCTTGAACAGAGTCGAATTGGGAGACACAGAAACGGGAAAATATTGTAGAACGGCTGAATTATAACTTCAGGACAGTTTCGAAGATGGTGAGTTAACTGAATCTAATTAAAGATAAACATGTTAGTTAAGTTATACAGCTTCCATGGTTAGTATTAAAAGTTTTTCCTGGAACTGTTGATTCAATGCATTAAGCTGTAAATAACAGAATTTGAGAAACATATTTATTAGTGCTGTGGGAATCTATGGTAACTGTCTTTTTACCGCGAACATAGAATGACTCGTATCTTTGATGATTTTGTTTAAATGCCTTCTAGTTTTCTTTGTTTTGTTATTTTTTCTGTTAAGAAAAAGAATTTACAAAGGCTAATTACTCCTCGTTCGCTTTCCTTTTGCGTATTGATTATTTGACAACTGTAAATTTGCTGCTACTACTTCTTCTACTACCACTGTCACTATAACCATTATTTAGAAAAAGGAATTTCGTTTTTCACTGGGCATTTATTTTACACCACTTACTTGATTCTTGTTCTATTTGCCCTTGATTACTGGCGCTAGTAATTCGGTTTTGCTTAAATTACTGTTGTTCTGAATTAAAGTAAAGTGAAAAATTCATTTATAAGATGATTGGAGTGGTTAACTATGTAGTGATTAAGTTGATGGACGTTGAATAAAAGTGCACAGATTATCAATATTATTCGAGAAATAAGTAGATCCTAGCATACCAAAATGCACAAAAATTACAACAAATGTTACAGATGCTGGCGTATAAAAGCGTATTGAATAGAAAGTATGATGAATGAGTGAATATCCTTCTCTGTTTTGCTGTATTCACATTTTTGAAGACTATTTGTTACAAGTGTTAGTTTGCAGAGATTTGATTAGTTTTAGGATTTCCTCATTAGCTGGCGTCAGTTAGAGAATCACTGGAAAACCTGGGAGTACTAAACAACTGTTTTTTTCCATTTTGCGACTCCTCGGTAGCACACATTCTCCGGGGTTCGGACTCAGGACCTTAGGCGAGCTTGTAGAGCATTCAGCCACTGTGACACAATCCAATGGCCAGCCCATGATTTCCAACTTCTGATAATTCACAATTCTCCAACTGATGTCAGCTCTTGGTGAAATCCTGAAACTATTTATTTCATTTGATATAGAATCAGACGAAACAAGGGTAGATATAAACCTGTATTTACACTTTATTCCTGTTTTATTTTTTCATATTTTGCAAAAGCTGTATTATGTAAATGAATTAAATCACCAACCTTTCTCAACCTGTTTAGAATATCGTCTCATAACTGCAAATTATTTGCATTTCAGTTGAAATCAAGTCAGAAAACACTGTAAAAGCAGTTTTTTTTTAAATTGCACTTTACAATACTCACCTTGACTTTCATGAAACCGTAAGACTTTAGAGGTGGAACCTACGCGTATATTGAAAGATATTTCGGGTGAATCACGGAATACCTGTAATTAGTATAAATTAAACTTCTGTTAGATAAAGGACTTAATTCCAAGTGGATTTGAGGAACCCTCACCATACCCATAAGTCTTTAATAATCTTCCAAAGTTATGTCCAATAAAGAAAACAAAGTGATTAGTTATCTA